CTTTTTTTAAGTTAACTCTTAACATCTGCTGACAATTTTTAACTATTTGGAGAAAGTTTATCACAATTAAAAAACAGTTAAAAATTAAAATATTACTTTTAAGAATTTTTAACTATTATTTTTAAAATTTCATTTGAATACAATTTATTTTGTTTCTTTTAATAATGTTTAAAAAATATTGAAAGCAAACAAAAAAAATTTCTATTAAGTGATACATTAAACAACAATAAACAAATTTAAAGTTTTATTTTCTGATTTTAAAACAATAAGCTGTAACTTTTTATATATGCTTTTTTATAATTTTAAGATTAATTTGTTTTTTGAAACTATAAAGTTAAAATGTATCTAAAATTTCATATATTTATCTAAATATTTGAAAAAAGGGACATGTAACTGATACTCTTTATAGTTATACGTAATTTTAATTTCACTTTCTATTAATCGTATTATAAAAACATGGAAGACCATTAAATATTTATTCCAGTTTAATTTTATTACAGGTAAAAGTCAGATGAAATTTTAGTGTATACTTATACAACCCTATTTAATAAATAAAAATATGTTCACAGTAAAATTTATGAGTACTAAATGAAAAAACCCAATTTTCCCCGGGTTTTTTCAAATAAAACCCAATTTTCCCCGGGTTTTTTCAATAAAACCCAGACAGGTTGGGTTTTTTCAAAAATCCCCGGGTTTTTTCAAACCCTGGTTTCTTAACTGCGGGTTGCTTGACCGGAAGTCAGGCGGTAGATTTATAGCCGTATTAACAGCGTTAGTTTTCTTTTTTTCTTTTTTTTCCTAAAAATTCCTATTAAAAGAAGAAAAGAAAGCATCGAGTAATTAAATTTGAATTTCTCTTTTACTGGTCAAATAAAAAATATTTTTAGTTTCGTTTTCCTAACTGACTTCTGTTGATGAGCAAAAGAATCCGAGCTTTATTATTATGAATTTATTATGGATATCATAAAGCCGCAAGCAACCATAGAAATGTAACTGAAATTCAATTAAAAATACTTTTATTTCACACAATTATTTAATACTTTTATTTTACACTATGATCAAGGGGATTATGCTAACATCATTATCATCCATATTCGCGTATTTTTAACCCCCCCCCCCTTTATAACATATTATCGATAACTTAAACCATTGAAAAGACTTTTTTTTTAAAAAAAATTAAGTTGTATATAATAAACTTCTTAGTACAAATAAGCATAAATCAAAACATTCATATTATTCAGAAGTTATAAATGACTACTATTGTGCTGCCATCTGCTGATGATAAGAGAGAATCGACGTCGGTGATATGGTGAATATGATAACTATTTTTTTGAAGGAAACTGTCATAATCGGAACAAATATTTCGAAACTTTAACATTTTTTTAAAAAATTATGCCTTTAAAAATTTAAATATTTGTACATGGAAATATATCAGTTGTATAAATGCCCGATATGTCATAAAGTAGTCAGACTATATATTAAGGATTATAACTAAAGACAGGCATTTTAATTTCTTATAGTTTTAAGCAATAAATCTCTTCCAAATGATCCTATTTTTTTCGAAATATTCAGCAAATTATTTTATGCTTATAAAATTCTAAATTTCCTGATTTGCAAAGTTATTTGATGCAAATTATTGTGTAGTTAAAATGTTACCTCGGATCAAAATTTGCATTGATTAAGTAATATTTATTTCAGCATAATTTCTAATATATATTTAAAATAATGTATATATTTTTAAATTTAATTAATAGCTTTATTTTATGGATTAAAAAAATTTTCATACCTAAATGTTGCACATTATTTTGGAAGTTCAACTCTAAACTATTTTCATTTTTGAGCAAGATCTATCATCTCGATAGATATTATCGAAATCTAAAAACATTTAATGAATTATATTCTTTTTCAAATTTTATTAATTCAAATTTTATATTTACTGCACATGCGCGGTTACTCTAACCGGGAATATCTTCAGGTTAAAGTTACTTAACTCTGGGTTAGGGTAACTCGCAGTTACGTACACAATGAAATGAAATTTTGGACTCTGACCTAGAGTTGCTCTCATAAAACCTGTTTTGAACTCTGACTGAGGGTTAGGGTCAATGGTGAATTCAGGCGTAAAGAACTGATTTGTCATTTAAGCAAGAAAAATTGTAACTATTTTGTTCATGCAGCTGCTTGAGGGGGGGGGGAATTAAATACTCAATTTTCTAATTAAATATTTCTAGTTATTCTTTATTTTATGCTTAAATTTCTTACCTACAATTTTTAATGTCGCTAAAACGTATGATGTAACTTAACCCTTTCGTGACGGGAAGCGCGCTTACCTCTTAGGCAGGCAGTCTCTCTCGCGTGCGTCTCTCCAGGGCCAGAGGGTTTTTTGCTATTAAGCCTATTTCCATGAAATTAGTAGCGAAAGAAAACCTCCCCTGATTACTGTAAACAAATACCACATGCGAATTTAAAGAGCCGTCGTAAAACATTCCTTCCCCCTAAAAACCACTTGAATGTACTCTCATCTTGAGTAGAAGGTCAAATCTACATGTATCTGAAACCATATGGACATACATGCCGTCTTTTGGAAGAAATTGTATTTTTGAAACGTTCCGAAACGCTGGAACAAATGAGTGACGGCCGGGGGTGAACGAAAAAACTCTTCGGCACGCAGATGTGTCGGCCGGGAAGTAAAGCGCGTTTCTTGCTGGCACATATATGTCGGCGCGAAAGGGTTAAAGAACAATACATTGACACAAATCTTGCATAATAATAAAATTTTGTCCCTCTCAAGTTCAATACCATTGCTTCAATGAGCGCAAGCCCAATTTCTTACTTTTTTTTAATATTTCTTATTTACTTCAATATAGGCTGAAAGAGATCTTAGACAAAAACTAAAAACAGCTTTTAAAACATTCTGCGACAAAGTTGAACAGATGACTAAACAAGAAGTTGAATTTGATACTCCGTTCAGAGAACTTGGCTTTCCTGGGGTACCTTCAAGAAGTACAGTTCAACTTCAGCCAACATCTGGATGTTTAGTGAATTTAACTGATTGGGTAAGAACACAACCTTTTGTAGTACATTCACTTTTTTTTCTCACCTATATTCTTTTTGTAGGTACCAAGTAAATTTATTTTATACTGTAAAATTTTTTTTTCTCCTTGTGTTTCATTTTTCTTTTTTAGATGTTTGATTTGTAAATCCATACCATGTTTTGAATGTCTTTTCATCCATTATTGCTATGAATTCTTATATATATATTTTAAATCCCGGTGCTTATCATGAGATATTACTATGCCACATAAAGTGTGAATCCTGCATTTGTTTATTCACCTTTAAACATTTCAATTCCCCTGTGTTTTTTTTTATCCTATCAATTTTTTGACATTTATTGCGGATTGATTTTCACGGGGTCTTTAATATCCTGATATTTCAAGCATGTAAATAACAAATTATGCATTTGAGTGGTCATTTTTCATGTGCTTGATTTAAGCCAGTTTCATTGTAAATCCATGCGAGGTTTAGATTATTTTTTCATTATTTATTACTATGAATTTTTACATGTCCCAATAATGATCATAAGAAGCTAAATTCCAATCACACATTTGTTGAATCGTCTTTTGGTTCATCAACCCCACTGATTTTCTACCGAATCCACGTGACATTTCGATCCTTTGGGTTATTTCACAATAAACCTACGTGGCATTGTTGTCAATTTTTTTTTACACAAGTCATTGCTACCAATTTCACAATGTTTAAAATAAATCTCCCTTTTCTTTTTTTTTTAATATGTTTAGAATTTGCAAAATGTGAAAAAAGATTTTTTTTTATTTAAAAAGCAAGAACATCACAAATAATACTTTTCATAATTATGTTAAGTATTCACAAATGTTTTTGACATTTATTAACTTAGTGTCGAGAACTTCCAACAGTTTTATTAATGCATCTGGTTTGAATATGATTTGTTTTTCTGTAACAATATTATAACTGTTGACTATATATTTTCCAAGTTATTTATCAAACAATTTATATTAAACCTGTAGGTTGTAGAACTATTTGTTTGATTTGGTGTATAAATTGATCTCTGGATCTCAAGTTTTTACATAAATAATTTTCAGGATTTTTCATTTTATGTCAAAATCACATCTGAATAGTTTTGAATAAATATTAATTAAAAACTTCCAGTAAAAGTATGTTATATTTTTTATAGCCTCCATTCGTGGTTACATTAGAAGAAATAGAATTAGTTCACTTTGAGAGAGTACAATTCCATCTGAAAAATTTTGACATGATTTTTGTATTTAAAGATTATCATAAAAAGACATCCATGGTAAATGCAATTCCTATGACCATGCTAGATCATGTCAAAGAATGGCTGAAGTAAGTTTACTTTTTCAGTTCAATTTATTTTGGTGAATTAAAGTGATCTATACATGTAATATCTTACCGTTTCCTTAAGGTTATTTATTTAATAAATTCCTGTGTCTGCTTACATTTCCCCCTTTATTAAAGATAGCCATTAACTAAAAATGTTTTTGTTTAAGAATGAAACATTTTGTTGTATTTAAATTAGCAATTCTACTGAGGATGCTGCAGTTTTTTTTTTGTGAATTCTGCTCATAGATAATGATACTGCAAAAACTGTTTTGTTTCTGAAAAATTTGATCTATTCTAATTTTTTTTTTCCATCCAATCAAAATAAAATTATTCTTACATTTCCTCCAGTTTCTCAGAGGCTTCAACTCCACAGTGACCTCTTAACATTACAGTTATCTTTTTTTATTTTCAGATTCTTTTCTGTTTTGAAAAAATGTGCTAATTAATGATAACTTGTAAACTAATGGAAGTATTTTTATTTCTTAGCTCATGTGATATCCGGTATACTGAAGGTATACAAAGTTTAAATTGGACCAAAATTATGAAGACCATTACTGATGATCCTGATGGGTTTTTTGAGAGTGGTGGTTGGTCATTTCTTGACCCTGAAAGTGAGGGTGAAGGAGGGGAAGATGATGAAGATTCTGAGGATGATGATCAATATCAACCCAGTGGCTCTGAAGATGAAGAAGAAAGCAGTGAGGAAGAAGATTTAAGTGGCTCCGAATTTTCTGAAGTAGATGATAGCTCAGGTAATTAATTATGACACATGAGTCAACAAAAATTTGATGTCTGCAATGTTATTTCTTCTGAATTTTCGGATATGAAGTTGAATGTGTAACTTAAATGCTTCTATGAAATTCATGAACTAATGACTACTGATTTTGGCATTATGAACTAAAAATTTTGACCATATGTTGTAGATAAATTGTGATTAAAATGTTGGGTTTTTACATTTTTTTTAAAAAACTGTCTTGGAAAGAAATGTATATATATTTTTTAATTCCATTATAAAATACTTCAAATGCGTGCAGAATGCTTGTGAATAAACAGTCTTAGCTGAATTTGAGACCTATCATTAATACTTGGGTATGGTAATGTAAAAATAAAGAAAATAATTGCTTATTTTGCTTGGTCAGGTTTTAAAAATAATTGAAGTGATAATAGTATTTAATTTTTGCATTTGTATAAAATTTTTTGAAACAATTAAATTTTGAGTAAGGGAAATAATTTGGCCGTGTCACTAATTCCAAAAAAAAACAACTAGTATTTTGCTATTTATTTGTATATGGAGTATTATATATGTATATGAATATGGAATAAGCTTTAATTCAATGCGGCTAGCTCTTAATACATTTTTTACTTCATATTATGAAATACTTAAAATCGCATAAAAAGTTCTTTAATAATACAAATTTGTGCACACATTTTTTTTTCCCAATTTGTTCATTCTAGTTAGATAATATTGATGTACACTGCACAAATACTAGTGGAGATACTCCAATTTTGTAGACTTTTTTTTTTTAAATATTGTTTTATATATATATATAAAAGAAAGTATTCGAAAAAGAAGTTTAGGAAGGCGAAAGAATAAGCAGATGATGACATAATCAGAATTTATGCGAGGAAGAAGAAAGTCTATGTTTAATTGTGTACATGCTGCTCCCAAAGATAAAAGTACCGCTTTAGCCCAAAAATTAGTGATTTCATCGCTAGCGGGTGAGCAAACAATCAGATGGTCTTTTCTACAACTCGACGCAATTATCTGTTTATGACGAAAAAACTTATTAATTGGTTCAATACTAGAATGTGCTAGACATGTGCTCAAACTAACCATATTCCAATAAGCAATTGCTGTAATAGTCATTTGTTTATAAAAATGAATGAAACATAGTGTAACACGAAAGACTGTCAAGAAATTGTAGTCTGATAGTTTTCGTTATTTTTTTAACCCTAAAAAAATAATTAAAAATTTATATATTAATTATTATATGTTCTCAATTTTTGAGTATTTTTATTTGTTTTATTGTTACAGTGGTAGATTAGCCTTTCTAATCATAAAAAATTATAATTTTTTTTTCAGAGGGCGAAATGGGTAGTAGTGAGGAAAGTGGAAAAGATTGGTCTGAACTTGAGGAAGAAGCTGCTTTAGGTAAAAAAAAAAAAAAAAAAATTATTGCTTATTTTGACAACAATTTTTATACTTTAAATGTTTATGTCTGGTTTTGATTTTTATGTTTAAATGTTTATGCCTGGTTTTAATTTTTGAAAAAATCTTTGCATGCTACCTATTACTAAGATAAGTATGGTTACTAATTCCACATCTCAAGGAAAAAGAGAGACTTAGTTTGAATTAATTATTTTTGCCATCTGTCATTGCTTATACAATTACTGTTCCTGGCACCCTATGTAATACTACAATTATATAGCACTATTAACCACTTTTGTTGCCACTGATATGTTGGGAAAACAATAGTTTTTGTTTTAAGCATTCAATGCCTAAATTAGAACGACAAAACATCTAAACAGGCAAATTATTTTGTTTCAACATTATAGGAAAAGAAAAGAAGTTTGTCCTGTTTTTCATATTGCTATTACACAGTTCTTTCACTCTAGTTTGTCATCATTAGAGGAAAGTTCTTATAAAATCATGACTTTAAACAAAACAATTTAATATAAGTCTATTTTAAAATTTTGTTCAATTAATGCAAAATCAAGAGCTGTACTGTGTAGGTAGAAAAAACGTTCTTTAATATTATTATTCACTACAGACTTTAAGAAAAATTTATCTTAAAAGTGGACATAATATTAATTTACATGTCTACAAATTTTTGGTTTGAAAAAAATTTCTGAATAGCTGTAAATACGGAACTTTAATTTTTATATCTTTTGAAAAAAGAACTTTTGTGATCTGCATTTTATAATTATACATTAAGTCAATTATTATAATATTATCTGTATGGCTGCCTACTCTTGTAGTTTACCTGGAAGGTTTTGGGTTTTTTAAAAATTCTTCAGTCTTCTTTTTTTTTTTTTTTTTTAATTTTTTTTTTTTTTTTTTNTTTTTTTTTTTTTTTTTTAATTATTTTATTCCTTAATCCAACACAGCTGTGCGGCTACTTCAACTTGCGTCAAAAGCGTATCGAGCCTGAGAGGCTAATTAAATTCCCCATATGTTTCAAATGCGTGATAGGCGGATATGGGCTTCCTTTACCCAACAACATCATTAGATAGATAAGTAGGTAGCAGAGTGAATTTAACTCAATGGGAGAATTTAGGAAAATGTAGCTCCTTCGGAAACATATATTTCTTTGTTAATTATGACACATGAATAAAGTACAAATAATTTGATGAAAGAAAAAGGCAACATACTAACAGCTAGTTACACATGCATCATCTTCTGGTATCCTCACTCAAGAAAAGATACTTTTTTTCATTTTCTCTCTAATGATTTAAGTAAGGCTTATTATTTATTTCTTGTGAATGTTAGCAATTTATTTGACGCTCTTAACACTTTTCTGCAATCTCATTCACCTCGAATTCATGTGCTTAAGTTAATCCTTCTAAATTTTTTGAAGGATATTCTTGTTAGATTTGTGAACTAATATTTTACAGGATAGTCCATCTTATTCAGATGTAGTTGTCAGTAAATATTTCTGTACAATATACTGTTTAAATTTCCTTTCCAAAATGGGATGTAGCAGCTTAAATAAGAAATATTTAGTAAGCTTCATTTTTTAGCATAAAGTTTTTATTAAAAGATTTTCTATGTTGCCAGCAACTGATGCGGAAAAGTATTTTGCTGGAGACATTGCAATTTCAAATTGAAAAAATCTCTTAAGGACTAGCACTGGGTGTAAAAAAAAAAAGTGCAACTAGACAAAATATATATATATATATATATATGCACACAGTGAAACCTCCTGTTATGGACACTTCTGCAAAACGGGCGCCTCTCAATACGGACATATTTTTAATTCCCCAGGAATCTTCTATGAGCAAACCATTATGTACATTCTCTGCAAAGCGACACTCCCATAACTGGATGCCTGCAGTCATTTTTCCCCTGAAACATTATTTTCTATCTCTTCTTCTATCTAAAAAGAGGAAAAATATTTCTGCTTTAAATTGCAAGAGAAAAACTATGCAATATTTCACCATTTTTAAAGAATGTAAATTTTTTGCCTTATCCATAACTAAAAATATTGTTAAGCTATTTTGGTACTAAAGAATCAATCTTTCTCCTATTCTTTTGCTTTATCTTTGCTAAGAAAAGAGAGAGAATGATACTGCTCTTGTGAAATAAGTCGGACAGCAGCATATTTTGATCTTTTCATATGTACCATACAGGTGATGAAACCCTTCAAGTTGAAATAACCTCTTAAATGCTCTCAATGTTTTTTCCCCACTGAAAATTTCTTTCATTTTCTTATCAATTTGAAGACTGTATTTAACACAGCTGGGGTGAAAAAAGAGAACAAAAGTATTATCTTTGCGGTGTTCATATAAATGAAACATTTATTCAAGCACTTGATAGCTGATCAATTGTGAATAATCAACTCCATAGGTCCTTATGACTTACAGGTATGAATTGCTTTTTTTTCTGTGAAGGTTTATTTTCAGGGGGATATTAACCACATTTCCTATCAAGTGATAGGTTAGTGTTGGGGGATTAAAACCGACTAAGGACTAAAAGATCCTATTCAGTATCATATGTCTAACTTGAATATCTGTAGCTACATCTAGAATTATGTATTGGTAAAGTTAAAATAAATATCCTTGTAGCTAGTTATTGTTGGTTATTTAATTACTTTATATCTTTGAAAGTATTCTAATTGCTGTGTTAAACTTAGTAATTAGGGTATCCTTCTCATAAACTGAAAATTTTTCGGTCCCAAGAATGTCCGCTTGACCGAGGTTTCGCTGTGTGTGAATATATATAACACTATCTAAATTCAAGTTGTCTGTATCCGTGACTCATTCGAATACTGAATTCAAACATACATTCAGCCGAGTGAGAAAAAAACTAGAACACTGTTTAAATCATCTCTTGGTGATATGCTTAAAAAAATTATTCAAGCAGATAATTTGTGCTTAAACCGAAAGTGTTTTGAAGTGTTATTTAATGACCAGTTTTTGAAAAAAGCAAAAGCTTACACTTTTTAAAAAAGTTAATGTTATGTCAACAAAAAAAATTATCATTTTCTTACCTGTCTCTCTCTCTGTCTATTTCTTACCTGTCTATTTGTGTCTCTATCTTTTATATTTAAGATGTTTGTTTTTTTTTAATTTTTTACCTTATTAATTGTAATTTTACTTAAATTTTATAAAAATACATTAAATGTTTAGCAGTTTAAAATTAGTTTCGTGTTCATTATTTAATTAAATATGCAGATTATTTTAGTTATTTTATTAATTATATTTTAAGATCTTCTTGTCTAAAAAAATCTATTGTTGGCAGCTATGTAGCTGCTGATAAAAAATATTATGTGAACAAATATTTTACGTGCCTGATTTTATTTCATTCCAGCTGACAGAGAAAGAGATGATTTCCAAGATGAATATACCAAGAAAGGAAAACATGGCAGTAGTAGTAGTAGTAAACATAATGACCGTAGTGACCGCCGACATAGTGATAAAAAGAAATCTAAGAAAAGTCCTGTTAAAGGTTCAAGTGATGGAAAAAGAAAGCGTCATTCATCTGGTGATAAAAGAAGCAGCAGCAAACCTAGTAAAAAACATAAGAAATAATGGAATAAAGATGAATTTGAAATTGTAAGAATTTTTTTTTCCTCATATAAATTTGATGATTGTTGTAAAGTTAATTTTTCTCTTTCAGTTAATTTTTTTTTTCCATAATAAAAATGGAATTTTTCATTAAAAACCTTATGTATCTTGATCATTTTTTGGGAGTTTAATTGCTTGTCGTAAACTCATCACAATATTAACATTACATGAGGTATGAGATTACACTTAAATTTAATAACAGCATCCTAAAAATTATTATTAATTTCAAAATTAAAAATTTACCTTGATCCAACCTGCTTTTGTATTGATTTTTAAGGAGATGAAAAAATTATACAAACACAAAATACAAAATCGTTAGCTGTGGACTCAATTTTTATTAATTTATATGATTTTGTTATTAATATTTTTTTTTTTTTTTTTTTGAAAAAAGATATATATTTATTACTTGAATCATTTTCCCAGACATATTTGTCTCAGCTTACATGTTATAGTACATTAAATGAATAAAAAAAATGACATTTTAGTTGCAGCTCTTAAACATTATCAAGATGAATATAACTATTTTGGGGGGAGGAGTTAACGATTATGCCAACCTTCATCTATCAAAAGGTACCTCGTGACTAAATCAAGTTAGCATGTCTTATATACCTGTGAATTGATGTTTAATAATCGTAGTGGTAGCTACGCCACAACAACTTACACAGAATTTATTTGGCCATATTTTGTTTCCTTTTCAATAGATATTTCTTAATCTTGTAATATATGTCTTGTGACAAATTTTGTCTCACTTTATATATCCTAATTATTGTTCTTTTTTTTATTTAGATTCTTGCATACAACATCTGGGACCTCATTGTTTGGAGAATGTTTTGCAGTAGAGGCCCTTGTGTTCCAATATATTGCCAGCCAGCAGTTGTTACTTTCTCATGGCTTTCTTTTTTTTTTTACCATCACAAAACACTCAACTTTGTATGATAATGTATATTTGAAATTTCATCTGTCATTGAACTGTTTTTAACTACCATGATAAACGCAATTTTGGAAGGAAAATGGGAGCATTTTACACTGTTTGTCTTTATATGTTACTTTCTTTCATTTCAAATTTCCCCATTAACTGAAATATTTGTAATTTTCTCAATTCATGTTATGAGACGTTAGATATTCCGAAATAAATAAAAAATCTGTTTTTAGTATGTTTTTGCTTTGTTTTGTATATATTGACTTCTTAAATCTTTTATCAGGGTGGCCACCCACCTGGAATTATCAGGGAATTTTTTTTATACTGGAAAAAATCAGGGAAATTTGGTCAGAAACCTGGAGAAATCAGGGATTTTTTAAAGAAAAGCTGCCATTTTTTCTTAATTTCACTAATTTAAATTATTTACTAATTTTCTTAGTTAAAATTATTTTACCAACTGTTATACCCACTTTTAGAGGAAAATTTATTGCCAAACATCAACTTAGCAATACTTCGCTTGCATCAAAATTTGGTTCATTATAACCCAGTTAAATTCCCATGGTTTCTTAAAGAATAGAGAACCTTTCCAGGTCACCTCATTCCCATAAAGTGGCTAGCACTCGATCCCCTGAGTCAAAGATGATAAAATAACATAAAAAAATTAATATTAAGTCTGAGGGGATGGTTCAAACACGTTGCTTTTCTTTTCATTCTCTTAATCTTAAGAGAATGCTGTAGTTGTGTTGCAGGAGAAACTTTTTTATTGCAAATCAGTTTCATCTCCTTGGTATTTTAAGGAAAGGCGATTGCAAGGTTACTCTCTGCCATAATTTCTTTGCATATTCATGCCCACTTAATGTTCTTTCATGCCTAAATTCCGTTAGGCAGGAGCTTTTTTGGATTCATTTGGTGCTTTGAATGTTATTACTCTCAGACTTTGAATTATATTATAATTGAAGTCCTTTTCAGTTTTTCGTGAGCTCGCTAGAACAAGGTTCCAGATGCCTTTTGGAACTGGTGCCTGGGTAAAGATTCCAAATGCTTTTAACTAGTCTCAGCTGCTTATCTTATTTATGAAACATGTTTGGGATTAACAAAATACAATGTTATTGGATTTGTGAATTTTATCTTTCATGCAGGACAAGGAAATTTAGTGTATTGAATTAGTATTGTGGTTCTTAAACTTTTCTTGGCAGTCCATTTAAAATAACTATTTTTCTTTTCTCTTTACTACTAAGAATTGTGAAATTTTGTAGTTAGCTGATCTACAGTAATTTTTTCTACTAAACAATTCTAAATAATAAAAACAAAACTTTTAACATTTGACTAGTGTTTCGATTCATCATGCTCAAGGAAATGGTGCAAAAAACTGTTTTATTTTATAAGTGAGGATTTTTGTTTGATAAATAAGTTTTTTTTTCATAAGTTCTGTTTACAAGTGAATAAATATTAAAAAAAATATGTAGAATTCCTACTGAGCTTGTTTTAAAAAAATTAACTAGAAATGCAAAAATTTTATCGATGGGATCCACTGTCCATATAATTTTTAGGTTGCAATTTTACAAATGAGAAGTATATTTGAAGATTCTAGAAAGATATGAAGATCCCATGGCAAAATTGTGCCTTTAAACAAGGATGTAACAAATATTCAGCCACTAATTCAACATTTGGCGCTTTTGCCTAATATTAGACTAAGTATTATTCAGAAAAGTATTTTTGGGGGTAAATTTAAAGAATAATACAATTCTTTTTTTATTATTATTATACATTATTAGAAGAAGTTTTAACACATTTGTTAAATTCTAAAACTTGTTAATTTATGTTCCGAAAGACAAGTGGAATTTGAAGAATTGAAACTAGATAACACTGACTAGATTACTTTTTTTTTTCAATTCAGGCAAGTAAATTTCGTTGTTTAACAAATTGAGAACTTTTATTATTATTCTTTTAATTTGTTTCATTTTTGCTTGTTGTTCTGTTTTAACTATTGTGAAGTGTTTCTATTAGATTTATTTTTTTACTGTCACTTTTTTTCTTGTACGATAAGGTAGATAATTGATTTATGACAGCATTTTTTAAAAAGCGTTTTTAATGAACATTATTCTTTTATGGTCACTTTTTTAAAAAAAAAATTGGCTTTACAAATTGAGATTTTTAGCATTAAATTTTCTATTTAAAATGTAAGAACAACTTTCACTTTGCTTATCTAGTTTTTCTTCAAAGAGACATATTTTTATTAAGATGTGACAATTAAAATTATAAGTCTTCACCTTTTCTTGAAAATATGGTGATTGAAAAAACAAAAATGCTTATCTTTTTCTTTCAAAAATTAAGATTGATTTTTATTTTTTCTTCTGCATATAATCGTGGTTTTTTTAAAGGGCGCTTATAATATTGCTTTTTCAAAAGCCTTTCTGATAGACGTTTATGTATAATTTTTTCTGGAAAATACCATTTTTAGCATTAAAGTTAGTATTTTAAACATTTCTTTCCCTTTACCCCATACCAATAAAACAGCTAACTTTTGATTATTTTCAATAATGATTTAACTTATTGATATATAAATGCTTTTAACAGAAAAATTATGCTATTTGGCCAAATTACTATTTCTTTACATCTCTACCTTTTATTGAAGAATGTATCTTTTTTAATTGAACAATCTTCAACAAGGAAAAAAAATAGATTAATTGATTAAAGTGGTTTTGTTATAACGTTCATTAAACCTACTGCAAATAATGATTCTACCGATTCTTCTAGTTCTGACTTGATTGCTTGTTTCATTGCTGTATCTTTTAGTGATACAAAAATCTAATAGATGTTTACTGGAATTCAGTTATAAGTTTTCTACTTACAGAAGAGTAAAAGAACAGTAACTCAAATCTGAATTATTGTAAACAAAAATGCTTAGTAATTCTAATGAAACATGCTAAAAAGAAAATAAGGTCTAGTTTTAATTTAACCGAGCGCATTAATTCCAAGTAATCAATTTAATATTATCTTATCTAAAATGATGTAGAAAATTTCATTGTCTTATATTTTTTAGTTTGGTACCTTTGCCAAAGTATATATAGTAGTACAAATAGTAAATTCATGCTCAATTTTATTGATCATTATGATTGTATCATTTATTTATGCAGAGTTAAGTAACATTGCTCCAAATTGAGCTTCGAAGGACTCTTAAGTTGTACTTAAATTCCTGAAGAAAATATTGTGTCTTGAATGTTCTTAATTTTTGAAAATTTCAATTCAACTGAAACTTACCATATTACCCCTTATATTTTGAGGGTAGAAAATCCAAATCGGTCACAAAAAGATATGTGTATTCAGATATGTGTCTGATTTTGTAACTTTAAATATCTGCAATAATTAATATTTAAAGTCCACCAGCTCCAATCAATAAGTTGATTCCTATTACGTGAAAAACCAACCATTAGGTCAAAAATTATTCAGAGTAAATCTTTTTTTTTTTTTTGCATTGTGCAATCTAACCACTATTAAAAGTCTCAAACATTTTGTTTATTATAAATCCAAAGCATATTTATCATAATCTCTTAAATTTTCTCATTTATTGTTTGCGAAATTAATTAAAATTTTCATTTTAAATTGTACTGAGTTATTTTTTATACTAGCTTATGGGGGAATCCCTAATTATTTATTATTGGTCCATTGTATAATTTAATATTGATTACAAAACTGCAAAATGGACAATATAAAGGAGAGAAAAAAACACTTCATTCCTGATTTCTACTGCCTAGGGAATATCTAGCTATAGCCCTTAAATCTTAAGAAAAAATAACATCTGTCCTAGAAATGGTCATTAACCTCAAAGAAACTGGGATAATAATCGAGAATGTGGAGTCTGTTGCGTAGTTTACACCGTTGGGGTCAGTAGGTCGGTATTCTCTACTTTTATGAACCGTTGAAAGAGTACCGTATATAAAACTTAATTTTTATGCGATTAAAATCATTTTGAATTTTATCTTTTTCTTCACTTGAAATAGAGAAAAAAGAAATCTGATGTTACTTTATAAACTGGAGTACATAAAATAAATTAAAGAGAAGTTGTTATCTGTTAAATCATCAAACAAAATAAAGAATAACCATTGTAAGTACTTGAAAACTTTGTCAAAATAAATGCAACTATTAAAACCCCTCTAAGTCTCACTATCCACGGAAAAGACTTTTTTTTATAGAATTAACCCTTATATTAAAAATAAATAAATTGCGACTATTAGAATAAGTTGTCTGTGTAGGAGTCAGGGAACTAGCCTTGCTTCAGAAAGGTTCTGGGTTCAAATCCTGGGCAAGGCATGAATGTTCTTTCATTCTCTGTACTATCTGTCCTTACTGTGGGAAAAACATTGATCCACCTAGTACATGGTGACCCTGGAAAAGTGGCCAACAAATCTTCCTTTCAAAAGCCTGTACAAAGTAGGTCATTCTCCAGGAAGGCATTGGAAAAAAAAGTATAAGTTTTACTTAACTTTCTTTTGTAAATATCAACCTGCTAACAGCAGTGTAACATTCTTTTTGTAAATGTTAACCTGCTGTTAGTAACATTGTTTTAAATAATTTAATCTCAATTTTATCGTCATATAGTTAATATTCAAATGTATCATAATATATTAATTTATCAAAACTGTAACAGATATTTATCAATAAAAAAATTTTATGTGCAAAATGACTAATTAAAAATGATCAATTCCTTTAGCTAAAAAAAATGAAGCCGTAATACGCTACTATTAAGGCGTTTTGCTAGAATAAGTCATTAGTTTTTTCTTTAAATTAAATTATTTTTTTTAATTTAAAAAGATAAAAACCAATTGTTAATGCAAAGTTCAAATAAATCATGAATATCAAATAATATAAGTAAAACTTATTAATTTAAAAATATTTTATAATTTTTTATAAAAATTTAACTATTTTTTAAAATATATGAGAATTACAGCACTAAAAAATGCAAATAAATATAAAGTAAATGTGAATTATAAATTTAAAATATACTTCATAAGAGCGCGAAATAAATATTTCCGTGTCATCGCTGAGCATCGAAACCTCGACCTCAAGGTTTAGAGGTAATAATTAAAGCCCGGAATTTCAGGCAATAAAAAATGCAAAAATAGGCAGGCAAAAAGGCATTTAAAAAGCTTGAAATAGGCACTTAAAAAAGGCACTTAAAATTGGAGCAAAATGGTAGTTGGTAATGCCTAAAAGCCCATATAGGTATCCAAGGTATAAAAAAAGTTGCTAGAAGTATCCGGTATACCTACATATTCATTTCACTCGACTGTCGTAGCAATAGTACAAAAGAAGTGGACATAATTGCACAAAAAAAAACCTCAACTGCGTAGGTGCGAAATAAAAATTTAAAACTCGTACTTACAATAATATTGTATGCAAATTTATTCTGATGATTGGTTGTTGTTGCACATCACA